GCGTTAAAATGATATTAATATTGCTAAGTTATTGTATGGTAATGTCAAATATAACACTACAACTTTAGAATAACTATAATTTATTTCTAAGTAGGCGGAACATAAAGCTCATAGTTTCGAATTTCTCATAATTAAGTGTTCAATATTTGTGTCGAGTAGGTCTGATAGCATCACTGCTCATCTCCAAAAGAAAATGTCACAGGTTCAAGCATCATCCCAATCAAGGATGTTGACATTAAATGAGCAGATACTATAATAGGTTTAGAAGAATATAATGATCTAAAAAATGTCCAATATTTGTGTACTTCTATAATATAGGTGTCTTGGAAATTTTACACACCTGTTTCATTTTGGAGTGTCAGTGTAAGATTCGAATGATTAAAAACTATCAATCTAGAACATAAGCTGTTAGATTTTTTTATTTTAAAATTTCTATATACCAACAAGCTTGTGAAGAAACATGTAAGTGTAAGGACATTTGATGTCAGTTAAAAACCGACGTAATAAGTGCAACTTTAAATGGGTTATAAAGCAATCTTAAGCAGTGATTTTAATTTTAATGAAAATGACGATCGTGCACGCTAAAACCGACGAGTAAAGTGAAACAATTCTAGGAACGGAATACGTATAACGACCGTTTCTAAAAGTAACCGAAGTGGAATCTTACGTAGGACATTATAACGTCATTTTTTTTGTAAAACATGTAATGGTAATGGTAATGGTAATTAATAAAAAATTAAAGAAATCAAAACTTAGGAAATTTTAGGCCTTGATTGATAGTTTTCAATCATTTAAAAAAAGATTGATGGTTTTCAATCATCGAATCCTCTACCGACATATTTCATCTTTCATCATGTGTTGCACATAATTAATTTTCTCAATCATATTAGATAAATTTAGAAGAGAATATAATAATTATTACAAATCACAAGATGTTGGATAAATATTATTTTAATACCGCAGAAACAATATAACATGAATATGAATAACTATTTGGATGCATGAGTAGAATTATGTGTTGGTCTTCCAGGTGTTGGTTCGTCCTCATCTACTGGAGTAACTTTCGTCGTTGCTGAGCCACTTCGCTCGGACTCCCAGGCCGCTGAAATAATATCAGGCCCGGTCATGACATTTTATGGGCCCAGGACAATACAAATAGGCTGGGTCTCAAGGATAGCGCGGGAATGTTTATAATGTCCTTTTGCTATGAAAATCTACTAGTATAATTTAAAATTATACAATATTACCGTCAAAGTACTAGTATAACACATCAAAAAACGAACAAAGCACATGGTTAGAAAATATATATATAGAGGGTATTGATAAGTGACATTTGATGATACAATGTACCTAACAGCCGAGTAAAACAAGTATTGCAACTATATATTAGGCACAATAAAATTTTTGAATTAAAGAAAGTTGTGAAAGTTATATCTTGTATAAGGAGTAACTTTATCATATTTTAAATCACATATTCACTAGACAAAAATAGATTCTAAGTTTCTAAATTATGGACACTAAAGTTCAATCTTTCACTAAAGAGAGAATTGAAGGAAATTTGTGAAATACATCAATAAATTCTGGATATACATAAGACATGTACACTAAGTCATTAAAAGATTAAATTTAATGTAATAATCCGTAATGATTCAAAAGAAATGGTGAAATATGTTCCCAACGAATGCTAATGTGGATGTTTCTAAATTATAGACTTGTATCGTGTAGATGGTAAATAACAAATTAGAAGTATCTAAAAATATAATTTTTATTTTTTTTATTTTTTTTATAGATTTAGGATGTATATATAATTAAAATATTTATGTACACATATATGTTTGAGAAATTTATGGGCCCTACTGGAACAAAGGGCCTTAGGCGCATGCCCCTCCTGCCCATGCCCCAGGACCGGCCCTGAATGATATCATTGGGGAACCCTGAGTCCCTGACTATGGCAGAGCTCTTGAATACTCCTAGGTCGAAGGTCGCACACAAGAGACAATCACAATCAGTCCTAGGGCCGTGGGGCTATTTGTATGTATTTTCTAGTTGTGATATTTTTTGTAAAATGTTAAAATTTTGTACTTCTTCGACTAGGCATGGAGCCGAGCCTAGGCCTGGTCGGGCCTTTTGTGTTTGGGGGAAGGCCCGGGACCGGCCCCGGTTGCCTCCGGGTCGGGCCTCGGGCCCCTTTGTTTTTTCTTTTCTTTTTCTAATTAACCCCCGACCCCCACCCCCCCAAACCACCCCAAATGGCCCAAAATATCCAGCCCAACCCAGGTTTTAAAAAAAATTGAAAAAAAATAATAAAGCCCGAACCGGGCCCGGCCGGGCCGGTTCCATATTCAGCTGACCCGAGCCCGCCCTTCCCTAACCAACGGGCCGGGCCTACCCGAACCGGACTGTAGCGGGGCACCGGGCTGGGCCCAAACAGTACCGGTCCCAGGCCGGGCGGCCTGACCCGACTCCAAGACGATCTTCCATTCTTCATATCCCTCCCCCACTCTGAAATATGACGACGAGGCGCTATGAAGACGGTCGTCATATGAGAGGCGCACATTATGGATGAGTGTAGTTGGTTATAATGCTATGTTGGAGTATATGGAAGGCTAAAAATGCAAATGCTTGGAATCAGACGTGCGTAGGGTGGCAGAGCATCGCTACCGGTGTTGCAGCAACTTTGGATGTCTGGAGAGGCGCACACCAATGGGAGACATGTGCGCCTATATTGATATCAAATAAATTATCTTTGATTTTAAATTTGAATTTACATTAAAATTTAAATACTCTTTTGAAGAGGAAATTACCTATATTGATATCATTAGAATGAAGATCGTTACATCAATATCAAAATGACCAACACTGACTACAATCTTCACCTTCCAACTAATACTTATTACGGAGTAATAGCCTAATATCTATTTAGGAATATGCCTAATATCTATTTAGGAATACTTTGTATTGTGGAGTATCCTTTCCCATTATTTCACATGGTATCAAGAGCTCTAGGTTTTAGACACTTTTTCTTTCTTTCTTTCTTTCTTTTCGGGCTCCCATGAACCCTAGTATAGCCGCTGCCTCCTCGGGGTCGACTGCCGCCACATCTATGGCAGACTCCGATTTTTTGAAGATGAGCGCGGCTGATACGGCGCAGACCACCTTCTTCGTGTCGCTGACCACGGTGATTGCTTCCAGCGTGCCGTTGAGTTCGCAGCCCGCTGCTACCTACGTCCGTGCAGCCCATCTTCTCCGTGTCACTGACCACGGTGCTTGCTTCTAGCGTGCCGTTGCGTTCGCCGCCGACTGCTGCATGATTCCATTCTCTTGCCAAGCCCAGTTCGGCCGCTCGCACAACTGTTCCAAAGCGCTACGCTGATCCCACTCTCTCCGACGACCCTTGCATGATCCCATCATGTTCTGCCAGGTCATTTTGCAGTCACGTGGGATCCTCTCCGTTACCCACTTAATTCGTTGCTCTTGCTCAAGTTATATTCAGGTGTCTCCAAATTATTGACAATATTGACAGCCTACTCCGTCATACATCAGACAACCGGTTGTAGATCTACGTCAACGTTTGCTGTATTTCTTGGTCCTAATTTGGTTTCTTGGAAGTCCTAGAAACAACATACTTGCTCATGGAGATGTTATTGTCAAATATGTGCTTCTAAATCTTCCGATGGCAGATATATTTAATTACTAAGAGTCTCTCTAATATGCAATTTCATTTTTTAAAAGGTAACCTGTGTGTTGTATCTCCCGCACAGTTTGAGGGGTGTAATAGCCTAATATCTATTCAGGAATATGCCTCATATCTATTTAGGAATACTTTGTATTTTGGCAACTCTTCTATTATAAATATATCTGTGAGGACTCCTATTGGAGTATCCTTTCCCATTATTTCACACTTATAGCCCTACAATTAGACATAGAGACGATTACCCCTAAAGATGCAATACGAATCGCTAACCATCAGACGAGCTTAATGCAGCCATTGCTGAACAAATAGATTTATCCCCCACTAACCATATCAAATCTAGCCGAAACCTCAGTCATCGTAGTAAACCTAGTACCATGAACTTTAACCAAAAACAAAACGATAAGATCATAGTTCCTTAATTAAAAACTAAACCTAAATAAAATGAAATTAAAAAGATAAGTTGGGGGATCATATGACCCATGGCAACGGCGGGAACCCTAGTCTCACAAATCTTTCATCTTCCATCGCGGCGGCGATTCAGGAGGGGCCCAGATCATTATCACTTCATCTTCATCCTCCATCGCTCGAATCCCATTTGCATCCCTTGACGTCGTAGCCTCCGCCAGCAAAACTTCGTCCTCATTAATTTGAGAAGAAATCATTCATAACACCACTATCAAAATTGATAGAAGAACTCTAGAAATCATAGAGAAGAAAACACCACTCATATGAGTGTATAGACCACTTTTTTAAGCTTAGACGGATAAAAGTGTTCATTGTTCCTCTCCAAATGGTGGCTGCCCCTTCTAGGGTTTCCCATATGCAGCGGCAAATCGGCAATCAGGCAAGAAAACACAAAATTTAAATACTTTTACTACACACCCTTTAAATGTTTATATATTATATTTTCAACTCGTACTTTGTTTTATGTTTTTATTTTGGAATTCTATCTCTAGTTGGGATTAGTGAAAATGTTGTCCGGTTTCATATATCACAAGTCACGACTAGTTAAGGTGAAAGGGAGATTAATTTCATATGAATAGTGTTGGGGCGGCCATTGAAAAAGATTGGATCGATAAGATGACTCTTGTCGGTCTCATTGATACTCTCTTTGTCCTTTAAAACTTGACCATGTTTGACCAACACGAAATTAATAAAGTAAAACCTCCGATTGGATTTGTGCAAAAGAAAGAAAATTAATTGGAACTAATATTCTTAAGTTCAAAGGGAAAATTTTAAAGTTAGTGCAACAATCAAAAAAGTAAAATTGACAAAAAAAATTTAAGTGACAAGAGTACTTTTATGGGTTTATTTTACCTCTAGACTCTAGTTGCTACATCAGATTATCAGAATATCAGATCCAGCAACCTACGGACCTATTGGGTGACATTATTATAAAAATTGAAATTTGAACCATTTTAACAAGTTCATTGAATTCATTTTTCTTTTTTAATTCAAGGCCCGAAGCCCCGAATTGAGAGTGCCGGAATGGTATAAGAGCCTCTAATTTAACCATATACACATAATATCTATCTTGCGCTGAATATGGGTTCTGCATCCGCTGTTGGTTGGGTTCTTCGGGTGTATTTCAGAAGTAATCCCTCCAAAGACATCCCGGGCACTTTTAGGTCCCTGCAAAACAAACACCAGCACATTATTCATGGCATGAAGAAACTACTTTATTTCTTATGGCTATTTTCAGCACACAATAAGCTAGCTTACTAGTTAAGCAGTGATTATTAGCTTTACTAAAGGAAGATCTATTCAAATAAGCTACACACACTATCCTACTTTCACATCTGTTTTTCACATCAAAATCATTTTATAACACGAGTCCATATGTCACTTTTTTTTATTTCAAAGCATAACTTGTTTGCCTCATACTCTCATTACGCCCCTAGTATTTTAAAACTAACGTTCACCGAACATTATGCTAGATGTGATAAGCTTTTAAAACTAGTATACTTGTCATAGAAGCTTTTCAAATAAATTGTTCCGGTTGGAGAAACTTGCTGATTTAACAAGTTTCATCTAGTACCTTTACAGATAAGCTGGGCGTGATATTCCGTCTTTAAAGATATTCTTTTTTTGTCATTTGACATTTGTATGCAGCTAGCTTATCAACTACGTAGTAATGTTCACCAACACTATGAATCAGTTAATTATAAGTTGCTTTGTACCAACTTAAAACCCCGTATCTGATTTATAAGCCAGCTTGTCAGCTTGCTTCACTAAAGAAAAATATAGCCTTAGCCCATCTAGTGATTTTTACTAAAGGCACCCTGATGTGGAATTATTAAAAAAACAAGATGGAGAACACACCTAACATATATATGGCTGCATATCCTTCCATTCCCATCTCGCTCTTTCTTGGAAAAGCATCGAAAACCTCTCAGCAGGAATGGAAGACAATGAGGACACACTAAAAGCATATACCCAAGTCTCTATCCCCATCTTCTCAGTTAACACTTCCCCTTCCAGCATTTCAAAAGTCACATCCATCCCATCGGGAATCTTCAATCTCCATTCCTCCATGAAACTTTCCATCTTCATCTTCTTTCCTCCTCTCAATATCCCTCTCGCAAAGTGCACACAGATCCTCTTCTCATCCATCCTCCAAACCAAGCCTTCATCATCTCTACTCCCATGAACCTCCAAACAGTGCATTGCAATTTTCTTGGGAAATCCATCTCCTTCCAACACTTGAAGAACTTCATCTTCATCCAACATGTTCAAAGACCAGTTCTTGATGACTGAATTATGCAGAAGCATGTTAAGAACTCCATCCATATATTTCTCATCTAAAATTCTCCAGTATCCATTAATCTCTACTGCGGGCAAAGCTTGTAACCCGGCTGCTAGCTCACCGTCACTGGCTTGAATACTTTCCACCAGATCATCCCATTTATATAGAAGTCCACTCTGGTCTGTCATATCTGAAGCCCTGTCATCACCAAAACCATAAGGATTTTGGGAGAGAAGTGTTTTGAGCTTATCTAATCTGGGAGAAACCTCAACCAGTTCCATACAGCCAGGGGCGACTTTGAGGACGGAAGAAACAGACATCTGGTCTTTACTCTGCAATACAAGTGAAGCATCTTCTAAGATGGACTGGTCGGATGGAGGAATAAGGAGCACTGAGTTTGATGTCCCTACGAATTTGAGGGCATAGGTTTTTGACTGGGTGCATAGAACTGCATCTTCATTTGGTTGCCCTCGCAAAGTTACACTGGAGAGTGGAGTCAAGAAACCAAAACGCTATGTTTAGAATGCGGAAAAGAAATTAAAAGCCATGGGCCTAAGGGAAACAGCTTTTCTTAATTTTTAGTGACTTCAGTTTTAGTGGAGAACATAAAATGAATAAAAATCTGATAGACATATACATACACTTCTAAATCTTTGAAGTGTATACAAACACACATACTGCATATATACATTATACATACATGCATACAAGCATATATGAAGTGTTCATACAAATATCTAACATTTATTTATTGAGTTTGAAGTTTCAAACCATTGTCTTTTTCTTCTGTTCTAAATTCTCTTCTTCTTTTCCTTATATTTTCTTTCTCTAGCATATGACGTTTCAGAGGGACCCCAAAAGTTCAGGTAATGAAGCCAAGGAAGAAGAAAAGAAAACAAAAAGATGTGCCATCATGCATTGTTGTAAAAATCCCACCCAGCCTCATTTAATCCTTGGAACTTGGGACATGGAACTACATCCAGGATAACTGAACCTAAAATGCGAACTTAATGAAATGGATGTGTTATTCCATTATTTCCATTGGAGCCCATGATTAACCATTTTTTGGCTTGGGAATATGATGGAATAAAGCAAAATGGCTCCCTGAACTGTCTGCACTTTCTGGTTATGAAGCAATAGTCAGTCCATGCAATTCTCGACGCGATTTTCATCATGGGTCATTTGGAAACAGCCTCTTTGTGCTTTAGTACATAGGTAAGGCTGCTTACATCTGACCCCCTTACACCATCGTAAGTGGGAGCCTTTGTGGTACTGGGATAATGTTGTTGTTGTTGTTGTTGTTGTAATGAAACAGATATGTTTAGCTTTTTTATTTCAGCTATTTTTTTTTTCAATTTCAGCCTCATCAGCCTTATATATGAACAGACTACCATGCATACAAAATGAGGATTTGAAAATTTTCAGTCCATAATGGGCTGAAAGTACAAGTCAACATTCACTTATAGTGTCATAGATCCCACCAAACTCCAATCAAGTCCCACTTAGGCCATGGGGCCTGCCAGGGCCACTTTTCCTAGCATTTTCTACTACAACATTGGCTAGAGGAATGACACTACATACCTTTGGTGTAGGAATTCAGGGAGGAGATTCTCATCAAGCTCAAGAAGCATCAGATCATCATGGGGTCCAAAAAGAGGATGGTAGGCAACAGATAGGAACGTGTTTGGTTGAAGCTTTAGTACTGCTTCTGCCCCTCCTTCCAAACCAGGCCGCAATAGTTCCATAACCAGTACACTAACTATTGTTTTCTCTAGAAGACAAGAATAAATGTCCTTTTCCCCCTTTCCTAAAAGTGAAGATCTTTTTGTCATATAGCACTGTCATATCTATAACTATATAAAAATTGAATAATCAAGAGAAGTTTGGGCAGGAAAAGTGTGCTTTGCACGTGAGAGGAAGAATTTAATAAGTATGAATAGGCAGAAAGGGGAAAAAAATCACACGTAATCATTAGGAGGCTGCTGAACTTCTTAAAAAACGACAAATCTGTGCATGATTATTAAATTGGGGGAGTTGGAGCTCGTGAATAATAATACAGCCACAATGAATAAATTCTGCTGATACTCTAAAAAAATACATATTATAACATATACACTGTGCATAGACACTATCAAGGCTTATATTGTTGTGCAGAGCACCCAAAATATGTGTTCTTTGAAATTTTAAAAAAGAATACATACGGAGTATAAAACTGTGCAAACATGCTATCATAAAACTACCAACAAGTTTCTGTTATAAATAGGATACTCCCTGCTGCTTTAGCAGGCATACAACCAAGGAGGCCAACGGTTCCAACGGAGCAAAGCTTGAGATCAGCAGTTGCTATGACAGTATGGACAGATTAGCATTATCACAATATCATTTTATTTGCTATGGCGACGTTGATGAGTATACTTTATACAAAATTTGTCTTTTTTGCTTTGAAGATGCCTGCTATGGAGTGAAATACATGCGGTAATGATTTCATTGGAAAAATCAGATTGTCAACCATTTAAATAATTAATTGACTACTACGAAAGTATGTTTCATGTGTGTCCAGTATAACAGTAATCATGAAAATAATTGTTTTTTGGGGTCTTTTTAATGAGTCAATAATTTAATTAAACAGATGAAATCACTGAGAACTTGGTTATTTATTATGTATCCGCAGTTTTTGAAAAAAATAAAATAACATTTTTTGTCTTTTAATCGTTGATTCGTTGTATTATTGTTACAACATTGTCTTCAGTTCAATTATTATGCAGCTCTAGATGTTAGAATTAAGTCAAGTTACTTGTACCTTCGTCTCATTACACAGCTTTAGATGTGTATTAATTGTTGTTGATGCTTTGCTGACACTATTGCACTGTCAACCTGTCAGAAAACGAAGGAAGAATGTTGAATTTTTTTTTAAAAAAAGTGCAAGAATTACGGGCTAGAGATATCATGGATAAAGGCAAACCTTTCTAATGGGATGATTGGATCTAAAATTGCATATTTTGAGCTATACTGTCTATACTACTCTATTTAACTCAAAAATCTAATAAAGATGCAATTAAATGAAAAGAGATATCACTATTTGGGGGGGGGGGGGGACTATTGATGTTTTATAGTACTACCTCCGTCCCACTATGTTTAGGACAATTCGGTTTACGATGCTTGACCAACAATAAAGAAAACAGATCCCTGTCTGCACTCAATTATATTTAGGAAAAAAAATTACGTATTCAGAAACTACATTAAAAACTTTACAAAGTCGCAAAAACTAGAATCAAATTTGGAAAAAAAATGATATACAAAGTAAGAGATTAAGAGGGATTTGTGTTGACCAAGTGAATAGTGTCTGGGACAATCTTAGCGGGACGGATGGAGTATATCATAAGTTTCTATGTTAGATGTTAAATTCCAATAAAAAAGACTGGTTACATTTTTGGCTTTTGTATCAAAGTGGAATCATGATTTTAACACATCTCTTATATGCACAAATTAGATTACAAGATGTTGGTAAATTTAAATATTTCAAATGAATGAAAAAATTACAGTCTAGTTGAGTACTGTGAGTAAATGCTAATATCTTAGAAAATGTTTCATCCTCCTTTTTTGGCTGAATATGTCTGTTTGTTTTTCAAGCTTTTAACTTCTTTTAGTGATTAGTATTCCGTATTATTATTTGCCTTGAGCAGAAAAAAGAAGCCAAACTGTACTTCATCTACTTTTGTGTCTCTATTCAATCAATCAAACTAGAGCAAACCAGTTAAAAGCTGTCAAACAAACAAAACACACACATTAGATATTTCCTCTGAACCTTATACAGAATTATACATCTTGGTATAAAACTTTTCATTAAATTATTTCAATTCCAACACCAGTAGAAATACATTTTCCCCTATGAAATACTATTACTCGTAGTTAATAAGATATGTATGTAAGTGACATAAAACTATTTTCTGGAACTGAGAACGCTGTTTTCCAACTGCGAGTGGAGAAAATGAGAAAATAAAGAAATGGTATTTGGAATTAAATCAAACACATTTTCGTTTTCTTTATTCCCCTGAATATTGAATCCTAATATTGAAAGAATTAGCTCAATCATGAACTCAGGTTTGAACAACGCCTAAAAATTCAAGTCTCTGTATAAATGAAAGTTAAAATTACTAAATGAATAACACTTATCTGTTTTGGAGTTGATTACCTCAATTATCAAGTGGCCACAATGGAACACATACATTTTTCCGTGTCCAAAATTAGAATTAGTAGCTAAATTTTTTACAATGTTTGACACAACAAAGTCACACAATAAGCTTTTAAATCCATAGTATGGACATCAATTACTCCAATTTTCGGTTTTGCATAATTGCATGGAACAAGATGTATTTATGGTATAGTTTGCAACATTACTACATTAGTTTAAGCCATCAAACAAGCTTTCAAGGATGCCACAATACATTTAAACTAGAAAACGTGGTCATGTAAGTATTTTAATACATCAGTTTTTTGAACATTAATAAACATTTCATTGTATCATTTTAACAAGCACCTTATGGTCATAAAAATCAAATACAATACTCGAGAAAAAATTGAATCATGAAAGCCATATATACAGAATAATGAATCATATTACTCAGATTAACATCACTGCCATAAATTCAACACAACATAAGGATTTAAAAAGGTAAAAACAAATCACAAAAAGGAAGAGTTATTACCTTAGGTGGTGGTTTGTGAAAGAAAGAGGTAGCAAAGCGTGATGGGGGCTTCGATAGTTCTCATTAGTCATGGTGGTGGCTAGGGGTGCAAACGAGCCGAGCCGAGCCCGATTTTCTACAGGCTCGAGCTCGAGCTCGAAATATATAGCATCGGCTCGAGCTCGGGCTCGGCTCGAACGAGCCTACAAAATCGCGGCTCAAACTCGACTCGCAGAAGGCTCGGTTTGACTCGGCTCGGCTCGAGGCTCGATAACCATTATGATGCTCCATAATGAGTCCGTAGTAAAAATTCACTGTCATCGCCCCATTCTAAGTTTTTCTACTGAGTAGTAACGACCTAAGCCTAAAATATTATAAAATTTTACTAATCAGCATATATTATATACTCCCTCCGTCCCCTTTTAAATGTCCCGTTTTACCATATTGGGATGTCCCTATTTAATTGTCTCATACCTTATTTGGTAAAGTTTGTGTGGTTCAAAATTATTTTTACTTTATTCTTACTTTATCAATTAATATCAATCACACAAACCCACTTTTCTTAAAACTCGTGTCATATTCTTCCGAGACATTTAAAAGGGGACGGAGGGAATATATCATATATATTACTCCGTACATTATAACAGTATACATTATATATTAATGTATATTGCATAGTAATATATTATACTACCTCCGTCCCCCTAAGTTTGGGACAAGAGAATGTGACACGGTTATTAATAAAAGTGAGTTTATGTGGTTGATATTGAATTGATAAAGTAAGAATAAAGTAGAAATGATTTAGAACCACACAAACTTTGCCAAATAAGGTATGAGACAATCTTAGTGGGACGGATCGAAATGGTAAAATGGGACAATCATAACGGGACGGAGGGAGTATATGATTATAATATATATATATATATATATATATATATATATATATATATATATATATATATATATATATATATATATATATATATATTATAAATATTCACATATAAAATTAGGCTCGCGAGCCAGCGAGCCTGAAATTAGAAGGCTCGAGCTCGGGCTCGACTGCTTAACGAGCCGGCTCGAGCTCGGCTCGAGCTCGAATTTGACCGATCCCGATTCGAGCTTTGACCGAGCGGCTCGCGAGCGGCTCACGAGCGGCTCGGCTCATTTGCACCCCTAGTGGTGGCTTTCTCAGCAGTCATTTGCCGCGGCAGTGGTTTCGTCAGCGCTAATTAGAGGCACGCTTCAGCTATGTGCTGTGGTGAAACACAGGGGTCCAATAGGTCCGGGGATTAAGGGTGTTTGGAACTGATTCTGCTTATGCTTCTTTTTTAAAGCACAAGCAGAATCAGAATCAATTTTCAGAAGCTGGTACCCCCAGCTTCTAAAAAAACTGATTCTGAGAGTAAATTAGAGCTCCAAAAGTGCTTCTGGAATTTCACCCAAACACTACAGCTTCTGATTCTGCTCCCTGAAGGAGCAGAATCAGTTTTGAGAATCAGATCCAAACACCCCCTAATCCGTTTTGAAGAAAAAATCTACTACCTCCTTCCCCGTGAAAGTAAGAGAAGGTGGCACAGTTATTAATAAAAGTGTATTTATGTGTTTGATATTGAATTGATAAAGTAAGAATAAAGTAAGAATCATTTAGAACCACACAAACTTTATCAAATAAGGTATGAGACAATCTTAGTGGGACGGACCAAAAAGGTAAAATCAGACAATCATAGTGGGACAGAGGGATTATTATCTTTACACACTTTTCATACACACGTACACACTCATGTTTGTGAAGGGATTTTTTTACCCACAGATACGAGTATGTACGTGTGTGTATAAAAAGTGTGTACTGCCTTAAGCTGGATTGTTTATTGAAAACTAGTATCGTTACCCACTTCAGCGTTTTATTTTGTTTTTTAGTTTCACTATATATATGTTTATCTTTTATCTTTTATCTTTCTTATATTCTTATGTTATTGTTATCTTATATTTATCTTTATCTCATCTATTTTATCTTACATCTTTTCCTTTGTCTTTCTTCTCTTTTTTTGCATTGATATCATGGATTAATTCATGGATAACCTTTTAGTTCAAATGTGTGTACGATAGACGTGATCACCGTGTAGCAGTCCACGATGAACTGTTAAACAATATGCATGTGTTCACGATGTCTCCACGCTCAACTTGTCTCTCTTGAACCCTAAAAATGATAAATTCTTTTAGAGCATCCACATCCATGATACTGAAATAATCAGATTTTTTAATGACACGTAGATTTTTTCAAAATAATCTCACACTTTGTAAATTACATCATTCATCATCTGAAAATTATCAGATCTTTTGTGGGTTCTGCACTCCCTAATTAATACTCGGTTCACAATAATCTTGAGATAATCCGGATTCATATTTCAATCCCGGATTATTTTGTCATATAATCTCACCAAATAATCTTTATCACTCAATCATGATCTCAAAAATAATCTGCCACATCATCAACTTAATCCTCTAATAATCTATGAATGGAGATGCCCTTAGGGAAATACAATTTCGTTTACGGTATTTGGTTACCATAATATATTCGGTAATCGGAATGTCCTCTTGATATTTGTCTTCTCCATCAAGGAATAATAACGGATATTTGTAGGGGAATGAATGCGATATGTGTCTCGTAAATTCTCACCAACTAACCGCCAACAATCAAGACATCACCTCATTAATTAGACTTGGGTAAATGATAAGTGTGTGCTTCTCTTGATCGGCCCTTGAACAATTGTAGGCATAAAGTTAATGAGTTATTTTGCTGCAAATAATACTGAACTCTTCGTAAAGATTGAACCATGACATAATGTTCATATGTTATTCTTGAAAGATCTTCTTCCGAGTTGGATCAAACTTTTGTCACTGCCATTCAATCTTCAAATGCATGATGACACATTTTGGTTAAGAATACAAATAATACTCTCCATCTTATTATGTAAGATACACTTTCACCCAAAATATGAACATCTTCCTAAATTGATCTCTACTAACTCTTTACTTCCCCACTTTATCGCTTTACCCATTATTTCACCTTTTACTTTTTTTGTGTTATTTTACAACATTAAATACAACATGAACAAATGAATGATAAATTTATTTAGAGCACATGTAATATCAAGTATTTTTTTATTATTTCTAATTTATAAACTT